GGGTTTAGAGCAATGAAAGACTGAGGAATGGTATTTTCGTTTTTTTTTTCACAGTCTTTGACTCTCATTCCTCATTCTTTGCTCCGAAACACAAACTGAAGATAAAAATATTTTTCTCTGCTCAAAACAACTATGAAATACACTGCACATGTGGTCTGTAACTTTAGTTTGTATGTTTCTGCATTGTGCATATCTATCAAGCAGCGTGGAAGAAAAGTGAACAGGCCGCAGTTGATCTCAGACAACTAATAGAGAATCATGCTGAGTAAAAGACTGCCAGCTTCTTCTGTTAGGTTATCATGAGGAGACCTTTATAGGGTGTGTGTGCGAGTATAGAGGAGTACCAATGTACATGTGCTTTCATTAATTTATGGCAAGTCAGTGCCAGCTTTCCAAAAGGGAAAAGATATTTTGTGAAGACACTAATAAATTAAAACACCCACATAAAACAGTGGTTTTATTACTGGATATAGAATATCCTTCATATAATTAATATAATTAATGTTTGGGTTTGAAAAAATAACAACCACTGTTTGCAAAAGAGAGCAAGTAATCCTCGTTTTTAAATGATAGATACAAAGAGTTGTTTCAATGACGACACATTTTATTCAATATCACCACCACTTTAATAAGTAACACTGGATTTAAACACCGGAAAATTCAAACCATACTCCAAACCATCCACCACCCCACTTTACGTTCACAGCCAATCGAACCACCCACCCAACATCCTCAGAAACATACCCGTAGCAATTAACTGGCGGCTATCCAGCATTCCAACCATGATGTTTTTAATGAAGCATCGGCTCCGTATCAGGAAGCATTAGGAAAGAGTGGCTATGCTTTTAAACTAGAATTCAAGCCACCACCACAGCAACCACCATTACAGAAACACAAACGACAAAGAAATGTTATATGGTTTAATCCACCATATAACAAAAGCGTCAAAACTAACATCGGACATGCGTTCATCAGCCTCATTGAAAGATCTTTCCCAGCGGGCCACAAACTGAGGAAAATTTTCCACAGGAAAACCATAAAGCTCAGCTACAGCTGCATGCCCAACGTCAAGCAAATAATAGATGGCCACAACAAAGCCATCCTGAAGATAGCAGAAACAGCACAGCCACAGAAAAACAAAGGGAACACATGTAACTGTAGGAACAAAGAAGACCACCCGCTAAACGGAGAGTGTCTCTGAGTGCAGTCGTGTACCATGCCAATCACAACCGGAGACAAAAAAGAGACATACATCGGTCTCTCAGCTACTCAGTTCAAGGCAAGATACAGAAACCACCTGATGTCATTTAGACATGAAAAGAGAAGGGATGAGACTGAGCTGAGCAAGCACCTGTGGCAGCTAAAGGAGGCAAATAAGGAATTCAATATCACGTGGAAAATACTCGCCAAAGCAAAATCTTACACCAACCTTACAAAACGTTGCAATCTATGTACAACAGAGAAGTTCTTTTTAATCTGTAGGCCTCACATGGCAACACTGAACAAGCGCAACGAACTTGTCTCCACATGCAGACATCAACGCAAGTTCATTATAAGGTACAATCGAACATGTGAAGGCCAGTGATTGTAGCGCGAGCTTTCATGTGACTTAGGTTTCGTATAAGAGTTGTAGGCGATTGAGAGCAAGCGCATGCTTTTAATTCTAAAATTTCTTAAAAATTTAAATCTCAAACGTTATATGTAACTGTTTTTATCACGCGATCACTTTTCTTGATGTAGACCCTGACGCTTCAGTGTTATAATGGAGTTTAACTGAAGAGTGGGTCACCTTTTT